AAGCCGGAGCGACTTCCAATGACTCCAAGAGAGGTCTTTGGTTCAGATCTGCACCAGTTCCTTTTTGGACCCCTTTTTGGTGGTAGTACCATATATGGGATGGGTGAGATGTATTGGGCTGTGAGTGAAACAAACCTCTGTTGGCTCATGGCATAACCTCACCTGGTAGTCATGATCCACCACGCAAAAAGGAGTCATGACTGGACATCCAGGGAAGGAGGGGAGACCCTCTCTTTCGGCCAATGCTGGTTTGGGGTGGCATTGCCGCTACCGATCTGGCTAGATCTGAGATGTTGTCCTCGATGGTGTGGTGTCTGATTCAATGTCCCATGTCGATGCGACGTAGGACGTATGGCATGATGGCCCCCATTCTTGGAGAAAAAGGAGTGATCGAAAAGCCGTTGAAGCTCACAAATGGTCTTGGACATTGACACGATCCATTTTTTTCAGAGTCAGGATGCCTTGTACCAAACTGGGAAAGTGGGGTTCTGTCAGACCGGGGTTTTGTGACTGCCTATTGGTTTAATAGGTGATGGAGTCTCAGGGATATATCTTGGCTTGATGTCTCCTAAAAGGCTGACTATATAAGGAGGAAAGTCACAACATGACACCGAAAGGTTCAGAATGGCATTCTGCGCAAGTCCCCAACAAGACTTGAGATAGGGTGATGATGGGTGATGTTTGTAAGTCTCAAACATCTCAGTTTCTGACCAATTCTGCAACGATTGGGCATTCATCATCATCATCATCGTCGTCGTCGTCGTCGTCGTCGTCGTCGTCGTCGTCGTCGTCGTCGTCATCATCATCATCATCATCATTCATCTATATTTCCCTTCTAATTACTTGCTTTGAGGCCACACTCAGAAACAAAACCAATTGCTTGCAAACATGCTCCACTTGCACTTTCCAATCGGCTTAGGGGCACAAACCTGAAATCGGTTGAGGTCAGGATCCACCAGCAACCATGGCCCACCATGGCCCACACGACACCAACTCGGAGGTTGTTTGTTTACAATAACTCTCCCAGGAACTATGTTGGAAGTGGAGTTCACCCCCTGTTGGGTAGGAGGAAAGCCCATGGATGGCCCGAGCCAACCTTGTGCTGTAACAGCTCTTCAACCCATTGGCTCCCAATTCACCCCCACTTCAGGCTGCCGTGCTCCGTTCGCTCCTCCTGTTCCCCCGCTTCTGAGCTCATGACTCTAAGCTGTACTGCCGCAGATCTCGGGGGGGGGTTCGACTTCCGAACATTCGCGGCCGATAGGGACCGGGGAGCGCAGGGAGCGCAGTCCGCCCACCTGGAGGGGTCCGTGACTGATTCATTCGGTAGTTCGATGGGTGATAGAACAGGATGAAGCCGTCAAACCCCTCTGAAAAGCCGGAAGATCAGATCGTCCATCATAGCAGAGGTGGGCAGAACTGATTGTCCAGATACTTGAGACACACCCACATCATCCCACATCTACTAGGACCATCCAAGGGCCCCGGCACTTGGTATAGGATCAGTTGCCCTTCACTGTTTCTTTCAACGACTGAGGACTGAAGACCGGCCATTTGGCCCAAATCCGGTGACGTTCTCATACACCGGGTGCCTTTTTATGCTACCTCAGGACACCTGGCATGTAGCTTGTCGTGGCCGATGCTTTTGGGACATCTCTGGACCATCCCTTTTCGCTGGACCAACTGCATGTAGTCAAATTACTTTCAGAATCCATATATACATATACGTACCGTACAGTATATATCTGTGTCATGATGTGTCAATCTTCTGACTCATGAAAACGGTCTGTTCAGATCAATGAAGTGACTTCAGTCACTGACTTGGAAAAGCACGTCGGAATTCTCCTATCTCATTATGTTAAGCTCCTTCGTTCGCTCCTTCGCATGCTTGCCCAGCCCGGTGCGCCCGGTGCCCCACTGAGTCACCGGGCTATGCGCAGCGACAATGCACGGGCTACTCCTGCGGTCGTCGGTCGGTTGCCGTGTACCGCATCGCGGGTCGTGGAAGGTATGTTCCCGCAACCACTCCCATGGTATGAAATATATATATTATATGCTGTTTTGTCATGTCTGTTTAGAAAACTAGCTCGTATACACAAACAATGCGATGTTCATTGTTTGAAAGCAGCTGGACGTTGGTGGGTGAAGACCTAAATACATTCACGGTACGTTTCAAGTGGACCGAATAGGCAGCTGGACCGATCCCGAGCGGCTACGAACGTCACAAAGGGCATCGCGTGACGGGCGACGAACGGCATCGGAGCGATCGGATGCGAAGAACACGGGGCTCTCCTGGCATCGCTACTAGGAACAAGTGCCTTACTTCTAGGAACAAGGACGCTACTAGGGGCTCCTGGCATCGCTACTAGGAACAAGGACGCTACTAGGAGCAAAGGGCATCGCTACTACTAACAAGAAGCTGAAATGTGGGTCCCATGCTGTACGCCCCGTGCTTCGACCAAAAAGGCGGGTTTGGAGCTCCGACTGATGTGTCCTGTCCAGTCGATACATTCAAACACCTTTGATGCGTATTTCCAGGGTCAGTAAACATGATCTGGAATGACTCTTTACTGCATTCTTCTAACAATGGTTCACTGAAATGAGTTTAACCACCTGAAGGATAGAGGAGAATCTGCCAATGATCGTACCCCTTTTGGTTGTCCAGCAGGCGCGCTGGAACTCTTCAAACACCCACTGCGACTGCGAGTAGCAAAGCTACATGACAAGTCTTGGGTCCGTCTGAGTCCTCACAGGTTCTCTTCTGCTAGTTTCCAAGATTTCAATTAAACAACATACATGTTTTAGATTGCTTTAGAACAGGTACTAGCAACATCCGCCTGAAAAGCATTTTGCGGCAGCGTCCACTTCCCCAACAGTCGTCATCAAACAAAGGAACTGTCACAAAGGAAACACTCCAGCAGGTGTGCTGCAAAAATAACACACTCAATGACTTGCATTTGCTGTCCAGGAAACAACAAATATGAGGAAAAAATAAACAAATTCCCCAGGCTGGAGATTTACCCAGGAACCGAGAACCGCAAAAGCAAGCAGCAAGATTCAGGAAGAGCCCCTCCACCCATCACAGGTTTTCAGTCCCCCAAACGACCCACCCCACCTCTCCTGGAGAGTGTTGGATATTCCAATCCCAAGGGCATCGTTTCTGTGTCTCGCTCGCCCCACCGATGTTCTCGCGAGTTCTCGCGAGTTCTTGAGGAAGAAACGCACCGGGCGAACCCAGAAACCCGGTTTCTGGTGACCCCCTCGGCTGACGAAAGAACGGAGGAACGGAAGAACCTGCAGCACCAGAAGAACTGGAGCACCTGGAGCCTTTTCCGTGAGCCACCGGATCCGACCGGAAATCCCGGGCCGCTTTTCGGGTATCTTCTGGTCGTTGGCTTCTGCATGGCATACCCGTTTTGGGGAGCGGAACAGGCGGTTTCAGGACTGGCTGAGAGTAGTTTGGTGATGAATCCCTATGGATCCACTGCCACCTTCTCAGAAGGCGTCCTTGGACCCTCCTGGCGCCTACATACATAGTCTCCAATCACCATACCTCAGGTTCGGTGGCAGTGGATCGAAAGGGGAATGTGAGACCATGTGAGACCATGTGAGACCAACGCTATGTGACGAGTTAAGCACCGACTCGTGGGTGGGGAGAGCTGCTCGCCATCGGGATGAGGCACACAGTGCGGCGCACGAGCGGTTTCATGAACAAAGAGATGAAACCGCCAACGAGCGGTTTCATGATTGCCATTGCCATATCTCAAATCCTCATTAAATCTATAGGGTTTGCACCCATGGGACCAACACCGGTGGTCTGACTCTGGTCTTTTGAGCCAGGATGAAGTGTTTCAATTGGGATTCTTACTGCGAGGTTTGAACCACCACCATGGTCTCAACAGTGCCCTCAGTTGTCCTCAGTGGCCTTCCGGTATTTGGAAGACCCAGCAGTACTACGAGGCCAAATGGTTTTTCACAACTGCCTGCACGTAGCCCCCAAGGGGCCACCGTCACGTCTGCTTCGATTCGAGCTTTCGGGCAGTCCCTGGGGCTCCAGTCATACTTCCTCAGAAGCTGATTGGACCTCTGAGACCCCAACCCAGTCCCACCTTCAGCGACTGGAGCCCAGCTGGGTTTGCGGTAAAATTCCAGCTTTTGGGCCAGCGGGACGCTCTGTCTATTCAAATAAACATGAATGAGATATCATGGCTGAAATCCTAAGAGGCGGAAGCAGGGAGTCCAAAGGTAAGGGGATGAACTCATATCCTCCCTGAAACAATCGAGGCGGAACATGCGGCCTTTGCGGGGGGGCAAGCGATGTTCCTCTATACCAAAGAAGGCTTGCTCAGCTCCAATGTTTCAGGGAGGGTCTCCCCGAGAGATCCAAGAACATATGGGTATGTATCCCTAGGGCTCCAAGTACCTCCTCAGAAGGTATTTGGACATACTTGGACCCTCTAAACCCACCCCCAAACACCTTCAGCCAGTGCCGCCGGAAGTTGCCGAGGTGGGGAATTCAGACCCCGAGGTGACTCGCAAGTGTGGTACATACTTTTACAGTAATCATATAAAGTAATATATACCCTATGGATCCACATACCTTCTCAGAAGGTAATTGGACCCTCCAAGCCTACTGTACATAAATAGTCTCCAATCACCTTCTCAGAAGGTATGTGGATCCATAGGGATAATATATAGTAGCTAGGTCACACATGAAAGCCACACAATGTGTATGTGGTTATATGTGGTCCAGTAGATCACATGAATATACCCGTGGCAAGGAAATAGCCACTTCTGCGTTTTGTGTGATGCTTGGACAATCCAGGTGGGGGGCATGCACTGGTTTCCTTTTCCATCCACTTTTTCAGCGCTCATTAGCCAGAATTTCCTTGGCTCAGCAGCTCATGATTTGAGGCCAATCATACACCTCGCATTGAGGCCAATTACACAGCCTCATGTCCTTGTCTTGGGTGCATGAAATTTTGGAGAAAAACAGCATTTTAGCCACAAAGCACAAGGCTGCTGATACATTTGTACATCCTTCCCTCGCGGCATCAGCTGAGTCGATACGAAGATCCAACCAAGCGGCCGACCCGCCCCGAGGTTCGTGTGGTTCACGGAACCCCACGCAAAGAACGCCAGAACCGGCCTCTTTGACCCCCCGGCTGATGAAGCCGAACATGTCCCGCTAGACAGGTTGGCCATTCCGCTTCACGGTGCGGGGCCATCCGGCGACGGCACCGCCGCTGCCACCGCGGGCGACTCCGTCGTTGCAGCGGTGCCGTTGCAGAGGTCAACAAAAATGCTGCGCCTGCAAATCTGCAACGATGTTGAAAGGAAGTCTTCAGTCTTACACGCTAAACATGATTCAGGTTCTCCAGTTTGGCCATTGGGAAACAAACACTGAGAGTTTGCTGCAACTGCTTCTTGAAGACCTTGATCCAGTGACCCTTGACCCTCTTCTGGTGAACAGTCAAGTAGCAATCCAACAGATTTTGAACTCAACAAGCATGGTCCAAACCCAACAGATTTTGAACTCAATAATAAGCGTGCTCCACTGTGAATCTGACCTGATGTGAGCTATTCCTTTTTCTTGTTATCATCAACTTATGTTTTTTTGTGCCTGAATCCGCGGTCACCAAGTTGTCAATATCGGACAGGAGGCCTTCAAGGTTCCACTGCAACTCAAGAGACATGGCAGCCGTCTTCTTCCTTCTTCCCCTGCAACAACAAAGGCCAACAAAATGACCACCATCCATGCGAAATCAAACGGCCACATACGACCACCATGAAAATCAAAAACCTCAATGAACCAATGACCAACCATGCCTTCTTGCTCTTGTCCTTCTTTTTCTTCTTGGGCTTCTGCTCAAGATCCTGTTCACTGCGCTTTTGGACGCACGGAAATTGATGCAGGCGAACATCACAACGTATACAGGCGATTCCCACAATCCTCTTGCTGCACAAGATTCCAGTGTTGCAAAATCCGAAGAGGGAACCCCTTAGATCCACAAACGATGGCTTCCATACGACCCGTAGAGTGTCCGAAGAGGGAACCTGTTATACTGAGCATACTGAAGCCATTGTTTGCAAGATGCCACATTCGATCTACTTGATGAGGATTCTTTGCAGTCGTTCTGTCACCCTTGTGACAACTCTTGATGTCTGGATATTCAATCTGTACTGCAGGATTAAAAATATAGGCTTATAAGACTTCCTAGATCTTCCTAGCCTTCCCCTTTCCCCAAGTAACACCACATCTCCTTCATTCACCAACAAAGAAAGCCTTCGCAACAGCTCATGACAGAATGGAGTCAGTTGTCTTCCAATGATGTCCGTACCAACGTACCTATCACAGCTGGAGTAAACCTTCTGCATCTGTCCACACATCTCCAGGAAAAAAAAGGAAAACCACTACTTAGTCCTATGGGCCAACATGTTCAGATGAACTTGGGTGTATCTTAGAATCCTGAGATCCCTCCAAAACAAAACCAATGGCTTCAGTATGCTTCAGTCGACTGTTTATTCTTTCCAGGTTGTTGGGACACCCCCAACTCCGATGAAACCTCTATCCTCAATGGCTCCGCAACTCCCTTCCTCTGGCGCTGGCGCAGAATCATCTTGTGGCCTCCGATTTCAACGGCTGGCGCCATGCGCTCGTGGGGTTCGATATGATATGGCTCGATTCAACGAAGTTCCCTTATTCCCAACTATATAAGCATTGTTCAAATTTGTTTAACCTGTTTTTTTACATGCAAAAAGAACAATGAGCCAGCCATAGCCAGCCGGAATAATCATTAAGGAAAAATGCCAGGTATGACATGACCATACATGACTTTGTTACCGAACTCGGTAAATCTGAGTTGCTACACTCTGACGAACACATCACATGTTTGGGTTCCCACAATGCTTCTGTACAGACTTTCCTTTCCTTGCTCCGAGCATTTCTGGTGAACTTTACTCGACTTCCATGGGACGTCGTTCGTCAGAGGTGCTTTTCATGGGTGAAGCTTCGAAGTCGAGAGAAGCCACTGGAGGCTTCGCCGTCCCATTTTCCGAAGAGGTCCACGAGTTCGGCTTCCTTTGATGTTGTCAAAGGGAGGGGTGTCTCTGGGTCGACACATCCATGTGTAGAACCACCAAAGGGTCCAGGGTAAACAAGGGTAGTCACATCATTCTGAGAGGTGGACCACTTTTTCGGTGCGTTCTTCGGCATGCAACAAAGAGTCATCTGGGCTATCTCGATCGTGCAATCACCACCCCCTCAAATCCACTCAGATGCAGCCAGGTTTGTGAGATGACCAGCCATGGGTTACTCATTGGCGCGAAACGCGAAAATGCACCCTTCTTCAAAACAAACCGAACACCCACGTTACGTAACACGTTGCGTGTTTATCATGTTCGCTTCTCCGATCCAGGATGTCTCTCACCTGTCCTTCTTCATTAGTCTGGCCCACAGAACCAGACCAATTCACATCCGCAGGCTCGTGCAATCCTTTGTGTGGACATCTATAAAAGGAGTTTTTAAAAGGAAACCAACACTTTGAACCGGGCTCATTGTCTTTCCGTGGCCTTCCCGTGGCCTTCCAGAGTCGCCAGAAAATCACACCCACCCGGATGACCCGGTGGGTTAAAAAGACATCGAAAAAGGAACATGGACTTCCAATGGCCATGCCATCCACTTTAAACCTCATCTGAGACTCCCAATCCGACTCTTTCATCGACAATTCTTCTAGGCAGACCGTCGCCTAGCTGGTTGTGGAGATGGTGGTTCTTCCAGTTAGCCAGCTCACCGTTCGTCCAAGCACCGTTCGTCCAGACAGGGCACGTCCAGACTGGTTTCGCGAGAGGATCCGCAACTCCACCTGGGCCACAGGTCGGAAGCGCAGGATCAGACAGTGGTCTATTTCAGTGCTGGTACAGATGATCCTTGGGACCTTGTTTAAACAACTCGGTTGCTTGCACTATACGGTATAGTCTGTGTCACCCAGAAAAAAAAACGGCACTTCTTTGCCACTTGGGCCACTTGGGTCATCTGGCTCAGTTAATGTAAATGGCCTGGAGAAACAAGGCCTTACTTGATGTTACTTGCATTCAATCACTCCTAGGAGGGGCTTGGTCCAATCCTTTCCAGCTTTAACAAGCTTCGTGGATTCCTTCAAGCGGAGATGCGAAGCGAAGCATGCGAAATTTTCATGACCCATCTGCGGCATCTGATCTGTTTGAGTTGGTATTCCTCAGGCTGGTTTCACAGGCGGGACCAACTCAATGCAACATGTCTGCTGTTGGCTGAAGCTGTGCGCAAGGCAAGGAAAAGGGCTGATGGGCTTCTCCCGCATTCGCAATTCATGACCTCAGACCTTCCCATCATTCTGGTGATGGAAAAGCTGCGCAAGCTCCCCATTGTTGTGCACAAGTCGTTCTCCATGTTGTGGAACTGCTGCTTATCGGTGAGAACTGCTCTGGTCAAGGGTTCCCATATTGCATGGCATTTGCTGCATCCAAAATACGTTGCACCGCGTCGTCTTCCTCTAAGTCGCTCCAAAACTTGCAAAACGTGCTTTTGCTCAAAAAGCCAAACACCCGCAGTTTTTCTGTTTCGGTGTACAATGTACACATATTATAGGATCTTGCCAAACCTGGCTGATGGGAGTTCTCTAGTCTACATCTTTCTTTGCCCAATTCAAGCTTGGCTGGTCCAGTGACTGCTGCTTGCAGCATCTTGATTCCTGGATTCCTGGTCACTGTCACTGTCCTAACATCCTGCAAAACTGTCCGTACATCCCAGGGAAAAACGTCCTTGGCCATTCAACGAGCCCTGCAGCGTCCAATTGAGTCTGGAAGGAGTGGATCGGTCAAGACCCGGCACCTTCGACGGGCTGGTGGGTGCCTCAATATTGTTAACACGATTGAACAAATAACATGTGAACTTATGGTAGTAGGCAGTTGATTATGATCTGTAGGCACTAGAAATTGTAAGGTGGATATATATATATATAATATGGATATATTATGGGATACAAGGTGGGGCATGATTGACGAATTGTAAGTGAAATTCTTCGGATTAAATTTGATTGGATGTGTGTCTATTCAAGCTCACAGTGAGTCCTTGGTGCTAGGTCTATTTGATCTAATTTGGCCAGTGATTTGGAGCAGGATCTTGGCTTCAAGGCGCCTACATCTCTCAAACTACTTGAGTAACATGGACAACACATTGATGGGAATATAATATCGGGATGGGTCAAAACAAGCAGCCCTGGTCCACCATGTAGATTGACCTCCCAGGTAGGTCAACCAAGGTACTCCGTTTTGACCGGCAGCCACATGGGAATCGATTGCGGAAATCGATTTGGTCACCCATGTCCCACACCCTTAACTTCTCCCACCAACTGCGCTCGGCAGCGCCTGCAGTGATCTCAGGCTCCTCCAAGAAAAAGACACGACACGGCTGGGTGAGATGCCACATGCAAACATGCTAGATGAGGATAGAATGGATCAAGTCTCGTTCGTCGGGCTAATATTGATTGCCTGCAATTTCCATCCTCAAACGGCCGTCGAAGAATCATTGCCCGTGAGGGGACAAGCCCCATGGTATGTTCAAGGGTCTGGGTCCTGACCAATTGTTCCGTTTCTTAACTCAAGCGACAAACAGAAGGCACTTGGGTGTTATCAGGTGTGGCATCATGTGGCGAGGGAGGGTCCAAGCCAGGTGTGGGTATGCACCTCAAGACACGGGGCTGTATGCAACTACCAGTTTGCCTCTCCCGCCAGGGTCCATCTCCAAGTCGGCGATTTGCAACGGCAAGAACCCTAAACCCAAAACCTTCCGACCCAGCCTGTGGGACCTGCTTCGGTGGCAAACGTGCAGGCGCGGCAGGTACCGCAGACGTGGGCGCAGAATCCTCTGGTGCAGGGAGATTTGGGCGGGAGGTGTGCTGTTGTAGTGTCTATAGGGACTATACTGTTTAATCCTTTAAAGAGAGCTTCCTTGGCCTTCTTTAGCTATTATGGTTGTTTGTCAATGATGTTGTTCTTATTCTTATCTTTCCCCAAGTAATTGCTGTATATAGAAAGCAGCCCTGCCAACAATCATGTTTGTGTTTGACGTAGTGGGAGCCTTTGACAGTCCCAAGGAAGTTGACAGAAAGCACGGTTCACCTAAACACAATCGCATGAGATGTACAAACATCACTTGTCTCAACACATCCACCATCCACCTTGCTTTTGAGGGGAAGTTCTAGATGGCAGTTCCCACTTGTCACAATAGTTGCGCTTCACAATAGTTGCGCTTTGTAACCCCAGGAACAAAACACTATAGAATTGTCCAATGGTTTTTGGTCTTGAATTAGCGGAACTGAATGACCAAAACTGCTTGGTGACGTCCTTGACGAGCTACAAGTAAGGCTAATCAATGACTAAGACTCCCACAAAGTCAAATTCCATAACCGGCAAACAACGCCTTTCCATTCCCCAGACACTCCATGTATGCCAGATATGCCTACATTGACCCCAAAACCACCCCAACTGATCGGTAAATATACCAGTCCCATGGAGTGTCTAGAGATTTGCTTCTTGGCGACGAAGAGCGAATAACACATCATCTTCATGACCGCAAGGGTGTAACTTCCAAAGGCGGATGTTCAAAACATATGTATATGATACACATACATAGTTACATATATGAGTGGTTAGAAAGGTAAATCGTTACTTGCTGCACTGGCCATTTTCAGGTGGAGTGCACTCCTGAGGTGGCAGCGGAACTCGCGGCGGCGGCAGCGTCTGTGGCGGCGTCTGTGGCTGTGCCTGCAACATGAAGGCAAAACTACTTGTTTGCCTGGGCGGTAACTCCACCCTGGCTAGTAGCGATGGCCTCCACCCTAGTAGCCATGGCAAAACTACTGATTTGCCTGCGCGGTAACTCCCTGTGGCTGAATTCCAAAGAACAAGTGTCTTCTCCCTTATTTGGCTGTAGCATTTTGTCACAGGTAGGCCCACCAACCACTGGGTTTTACGCCATTGTCTCTCCAAGGCCAAGTACTGTGAATGTGAAAACTGTCAAACAGTACTCCAGGTCTCTTCCTCATGGATCCACATACCCTCTGCAGGTCCAAAGGATGTACCTTGGAACTTGGCATCATCTATAATTCCCAGACACTCCATGTATGCCATATATGCCTACATGGACCCCCAAAACTACCCCAACTGATCGGTAAATATGCCAGTCCCATGGAGTGTCTGGGATTGTGGGTTCTAAGCAGGAGCAAAGGATCAGGTCAAAACGTCACTGCTTTTGGTCGTTCCCGCTTCGACGAGGCTTAGCGGTCGAGAAGCGGCCGAGATCTATGCGATTGGAAAAGGGCCCGTGGGCAGGATGTAGTTGTACTCCAGGAAGGAGTTTTGGAGGTTGGGTGGGTAGCCTGAAAAGAGTACTGTTGCTTTTCAAGTGTCTGAAGTGTAAATGTTAAGGTGGTGTTGGAATGGTCCACGAGGGTCCACGAGAGACAAAGATCATCTCCAAAAATACTTGCCTTCCAAGATCTCGGTTATCAACAAATCCTGCCTTCCTTGTTCTGTTTATTAAGTCTATTGAGCGTGCGTGTTTCTATAACACATGTTTCTTTGCATCTTTCCTTGCATGTTTGATTACTAGCTACCTCCTTTGCTTGCTTGTGTCTTTGTCCTCCTGCTGACAGCCAATTCTGATTCGGGTGCAACGAGAGACAGAGATCATCTCAAAAAATTCCTCCCTTCCTTGTTCTGTTAAAACATCTGCACTGTCTTGTTGTCCCACTGAGGACAACCAAATAGGAAAGACTCTCGTCTTACAAGGCAGCGGCCATGTTGGGAACTGAGAACGGGTTTCTTGGAGGGGGGAGGTCCATAACCCCGGAATAATTCAAGGATTTGAGGCCTGTGAGGCTGCATCCACCCTGTCAAACTTGCTAGAGCAAGAGCGACTCCAGCTAGCTGAGGCTAGCTTTCGTGACCTCTTCCTCGTGGATCCATATACCCTCTGCAGTGGTGTTTGGAGACTCTTTTATGTAGACTTGGAGGGTCCAAGTACCTTCTGAGAAGGTGGCAGTGGATCCCTAGGGCTTCATGTCCCAGGTCATGTCACATGTCCCATTGTCTCGGGTCATTGAAGTCGGGTCCAGGTTTTTGGGATCCCTGTTTTTGAGTGTCAAGCCCTCATGGTTTTCTTGTACGCCTGCATGCAGCCTGCATGCAGCATGCATGCAGAATGCATGCAGCATGGAGCCCATGGTCCTGCCGCTTTTACATCATATCGCTCACCGCTTGAAGGAGTCCCTGAGTCCCTTCTGGTCAAGCTTGTCCACCGGTTCAAGCTTGTCCACATCGGGGGGGTCCAGATCTCGGCGATGCAACTGGCCACAGCTGTGCCGACCTGTTTAAGATGAAGCATGTGGCTAAGGCCTTCTATTCTACAAAAGGATGCAATGTTGATGTAATTTTTTGGATTTGCTCTGGAACCGGGAAAAGACATGGAACCGGGAAAAGACAATTCAGGAACATACAATATCACCTTTTGCATACACATGGTCTGTAAGGCTCCATAGTGGTGTTTCGAGCTTCCTCCAGCACCTCGATTATGAAAAATGTCCAGCCCCATTGCGATTCTTCCACCAAACACCTGGCCAGGGGACATGTTTCATATTTCTTTCGGCATGTCTTGGGAGTCTTATCTGGGCCCCCCTCAGGGGTATCTAATCATAGCTCCTTAGAGGTGATTCGGGATGTCCATTAACCACCCCAAACCAGGGGCCCTGGTATATTGTATATTATATGTACCTAGAACCTGGTTCTGACCTCTATTTTGGACCACCAACCACCCAAAATATGGTCTATGGTCTCTTCCTACCTTAAACAGAGGTCATGTCTGGGTTCCAGGTACTCTATACATCATATCACTCATCAAATACAAAAACCATGTTTTTTGCTAGGGAAAACCAGGTTTTGGATGGTTTGTGGGGCCCCTGGTATACGTCATATCATATCAATCACCACTTGGAGTGCCAGTGCACCTGATGTGACCCCGCCGTGTGTCGAGCACAGCCGAGCACATCGATGGGAAGAGCGGAGCCCGAGCCGAGCCCGGCCTTCTTCCGCTTCGATGGCGACAACAGAGCCTGCGGGAGGTGGGTGTGAAGAACATGCGGAGGCAAGCCTGATGACAGCAGGATTCCCGTGGGAAGGATGATGTCAAGCCACCTTGAAAGAGATCTCCAAGACCAAATCTGAGAAGGGAAGGAGATGGAAGCCCCAGGGACCCACATACCTTCTCAGAAGGTACTTGGGCCCTCAAAGCCTACATAAATAGTCTCCAATCGCCGTACCTGAGAAGGTATGTGGATCTATAGGGAAGGAGTGCCACTCTCCGTTGCGGCATCCTGGGAGGTTCAAGAGGTTGGTCTTTCTGGGAGGCCTTGCGGCCTCTCGTCATCCGCGTGAAGAATTTTGTGGTGCTCACCCACAACCATGAAATGTGAAGCGTGAACACCCACTTCAAAAGGACTATTTAAGAAGAAGCTGATTAAAAGCTGACAGCTGAAAAAGACTGTCCAAAGCGACTAGAATTCACCCCAGCACCACCCAAAGGGTGGTTCATAGACCCCCCTGAAGATAGTAGCTAGAAGCTACTAGGTGGAGGCCATCGCTATTAGGTTGGAGGCCATGGCTACGAACGTAACAAGAAGCTACTAGTAGCTATTATATACAAAAAACAACTAGTACCTATTATACAAAAAACAACTAGATCCTTTCGGGTGGTCCTGCATTAGAGCTTTCCAATTGACCCCGGTTCCATCCATCCCCAAAAAAGCCGCCGAGACGGCCCGGTCGTCCTCGATCTTCACCGTGTCCTCGTTGGAAACACGCGCCTCGGTCCACAGCGTCCAGGACGGGGGTCCGGAGTTGTATGCTGGCAGAGTATCTGGCGTCTTTGACCCACTGGAATCGGTCGTCTTAGCACGCGTTTGGATTCAGGACCACCTAAAGGGTCTCCTTCTCTGGATGATCCCGATATGATCAACCCGCAGTTCCAGCGCCGGTGCCGTTCGTGTTGGACATGACCCATTCACTCACTGGATGGGTCTAACAACCACCGCCGCCGGAACTCCGGTTCATAGGCCCCATGATGGAGCTCGGACGCTCAAACCGTGTGGTGGACACCGGCTACACCGGCTGGCGCCGCAGGTAGTGCCATGGGTTAACTTATTAAAGCAGCTCCAAAACATGGATTGCTATTAGGCTAAAACCTCTCACTTAACTTGGATTTGGGAGTTCAACATATCAATGAGTCTACATTCGGGCTCCAACTGCCGGTGGGACTGGAGATGTTTTCTCGTTCGCGAAGGTAGGAGCTGGAGCTCGTTGGGATGAACGACGGTGTGCGTCGTTGAAAACGCTGGTGACCATCGTTCCTGGGGATGTCGTTACTCATGGTTTTCTCGCCACATAGCAACATGTTTGTTGTTGTTTAGTCCAAATCATTCTATAAACGATGCTGACTGGAATCCTGAATTGTGACCCAATTATATCACTGTGACTTGGAAGCGATTTCTGGGCTGAAAACCAAACGACTGTCGGCTTTTTCCATCAGGCGAGTTGAGTTCACCCCAATCTGGAGAAGTCTTCATACAACTTCTACACCTTGTAAACCGCTGTTCACCCATGGGACACCTTCAATGTTCACTCTTGCTTTCGGGTTTCATGCAGCCCCATCCCCCGGCCAAATGGCACTCACGTGGTCGGCCGAGGACGTGGCGGAGAGTTGTGCGAGGCGGTCTGCGTGCGGTGAAAACGGCGGAGAGAGCCCAGTGGGTCAAGCACTCCAAGTTCAGTGTTAAACTGAGAAACTTTATTAGCTGAGAGTTGTTCAGTGGGTCTATCTATAAAAGTTCAGTCTCAGAACTGTAACCTGTGTAGGAACTTGAGGCTCAAAGACTTCATGCTTTCATTGAGAGTCTTTGCCTTGACCCCTTCTCAAACCACCCACAAAAAGCAAGTGCCAGGACATTCAGTTCGTGACAGGCTTGTTTGTGACCTCAGGATCTCGAGTTCGGTCACTTTGAAGGTTGTGGTGGACCTCGACGTTGGTCGAACGTAAAAGGAGTTGGGAAGACGGGAGGAGTGAACATCCCCAGACGGGCTACTGTCCCATCTCCTCAGGTGGTTAGACCCTGCTAGACCCCCCTGGCAGCCACCCACCAAATCGAACCGAAACGGAGGGAGGTCATTGGAGACCAAGGTTTGCACAGCAACCAGCAACAGTGCTCTGAAGCTCTCGTAGGATGCGGAGCAACTTCCAGTGAGAAAACTCAAACCTATTGGAAGAGGTCTTGGAGACCCAACTCAAACTCAAACTCAAACTGGAGACCTTCTTGGAGACCTGTTGGAAGAGATCGCTGTCACTTGTGGAGATGCTGTCCTTTTGAAGAAGGTCAATTCGATGGACCAATCAGCCGTGGATTGGAATTTCGTGCTCGCTTCTGAGGAGCGACCCGTAGAACGAACAAAACAAAGCTCATCAAAGCAAAGCGTTTAGTCAACAAGTAAACAGCTCATCAAGTAAACAAATCCAAGGTGGTATGGATTGAAAGCTGGCCTGCTTTCAACAAACACGTGGTGTGTTTGACCTTGATATGTGGGGAGAACCAACTAGCTTGAAGAGTGGCTAGACAAGTCTTTCTGTATTTTGGGCTGCTACACCCAAAGAGCGTCCGGCTCACAGGGCGATCGCGAAGTCTTATGCCATCTTGTAGCAACAAAGAGCTTAGATTGGATCGCAGGGAACCTGGGATTGGCATCCAGCACAGTGCCTGAATTATTCCTTGAACCCAAACCGACTATCATTGCACATAGAACCACATAGTAGGAACAACACGAAACAGCTAAACAACTGACCATTCAAGCGAAAGGACCACCACTCAAGCAAAATTGGAAACCACATGAGACCACTCATGTCCAACGCAAATAGCTCAAACAGCATTCAATGACCCTCAATGGTCTCACAGGCCGCAGGAATCACAGCGAGACCGCGCGCGCCTGGAAACTCCTTTGGTCTCTGAACCGCACGCCTCGCAGGGGAAAAATGAAAAAAGCATCGGCTGAGAACTGAGAACATGAATCCGATGAATCAGTCCCAGACCATCAATGAGACTGGGCCAGTTACAAGCACATGGGTCAGACATTCATGGGGGTTATGTAACCATTCTCTGGTCCCATTTGTCTCATCTCTGGCAGCGTTGCTGTCATTACTTTGATCTGCAAATTTAACTGCCACGTGTGTGTACCCTAGGCTTCCAACCTCTATGCATTTAACGGAATTTAACGGTCTTGAATCTTTACCGAACAAACTTCACACACTAAGAAACCCGGGTCACCATTTAATGGTCATTCCCGGAAGACTTAGACAGGTGGCACACCTCCGGGAACCTGCTTGGCCTCCTTCACCTCGCACCACCCGGAGGTTCCCGAGAGAAACACCGGAGCTCCCGAGCTCGTTGGACTTCGCTCCGAGCTCGTTTCGCTCCGCTGGAGACCCGAGGGCGGCGTTGGATGAGAAACATCAACGATTGGAAAAGAACGGAAGGCGGCTACCATCATGCTGGGAGGTATCAAAGGGAAGGGGAAGAACCACGAAGAACTTGGATGACACTCCCTGAGGTCCCCTAAGACGACCATGAAGTCCGATGAGAAAACAGGTGGTGAACTCACTCCAGTTATATAACCATGTTCATTTCAGGTGACGTGTCAGTGAAATCCGATGTGTTCCGATGACGTTTTGGGTGCTTTTGCATCCGGTGCAACTAGCACCGGTAGATGAGTTTCCTGCTTCCCTTTCTTTTTTGGCCAATAAGGGCCAATAGCTCCTTTGCTTCCTCCAAAGCACACCGTGTTTTTTCATTCGTTGTTCCATCCGTTTCTCCTTAGGACCCCGTAGTGAAATACACCCTGGAAGAGGCAGAACCGAGGCCAGTGGGTGTCCCTATTTTCAATACGAACTCACTTTCACGAGATCTGCATCCTGCCCCGGCCTCAGCTCTCCCACCGACAGTAGCTCCTTGAAAACGGATTCGACGTGATGCACTCAGACGTGCCAGTGCCAGGAAAAAGGGTGAGATGAAAAACTGCTTGACGAGATCATGTCGAATTTGAGTTCCTTTGTTCCTTGAGTTGTGTACTACGTAATTAGTTCACTGAAGTTTGGAACGGGAACGAGTTAAACAAAGAGAATGAATCCGATGTATATGGATTCACCGACGCAGTCGACCCAAACCTGCTTGCCGTGGACTTGAAGACAGGCCTGTCTGTCGCCCCAGTTTCACACATCTTTCGCAAGGTATCAAGGTATGGGCCATGACTGACTCCCAGAGTTTCCTTGGAACACCTGAGAAGCTGCAAAACGAAAGCCAGCGTTTTTTGTCCACGAGCACGTTGTTGGCCAAAGGCAGCATGCAGCATCGCACACAGCGTGCTTCCGTGCACCCCTACACACCACCTACTTTCGAGTGTGCTTTCTCAGGCCACCCCCCCGAAACCCTCTTCTTACTCAGCTGGCGCCTTGCCAGGTATAGATACTCAGGGTTCCAGCTTGAGTTTGGTGTTGAATCACCTGCTGCTTTCTGGGGGGCTAGGCTAGGGTGGGCTGGATCCAGACCCAAATCCAGACTCAAATCTCTGTTGCTGAGTCCGGATTTGCTGAGTCAAATTCACTGAGGCCATGGCCTTCTGGTATACCAGGAATCCAAGTCCGATATCGATATCAGAACGCCGCTCCTCACGAAAGCAGCACCCAAGAGCAGGAGTATCGCTCCCAAAACTGGTTTGCTTCTCGTCCTTGGCCGCGTCCTCCGCATCGTCGTCTTCGATCAAACCGTCTGAGACCGGACAGGTGCATGGCCGCCGTTCTTTTTTTTCGGACCGCTGAAGGGATTGTACAGTGTATACGTGGTGCGTTTCAATATTGTATGATTGTGTCAAAGGAAATGCGGTGTAGGGTTGGTGATTTCATTTAAACATGGGTTTTGTGTCAAGATGTGTCTTGATGTGTTTTGATCATATAATACCTTTGTGTGGTCAGTGAGTCCGATGGATCGGATCAACTATAGGTATCTATGTGTTCTTCAGGTCAAAACAGTCGCGAACAAAGAAAGGTGTGATAGACACCTTTAAAGGTGTTACGAACAGCTATACAAGACAGTTGATCACAACTGGTTTAATCTATTTTAAAATGGCCAAAAGGTGTGATTTCTGCGCGGTCTCCTAACCTCGTTAGTTCCAGCGTCTTTGTCTTCCACCGTAGCTACAATTCAGTTACCAGGTATAGTACTTCAAGTTCCCTTTCCGTCAACCGCTCGATAACCTTTACACATGCACAGCAATCCACAGCTTTGAAGTCTCATTCGTGCTTTGAACTTATATAGGTGTGTAAGAGGTATAGGAACATAGCAAGTATACGGACCCAGGGTAGCTACAATTCTGTTGCTAGGTATCGCACTTCAATTTCCCTACCCTGGGTTCGCGCGTACGCGTAGATTTAGGGGCGCGCGCGCCAGGGCCACTCAAAACAGCAGCTCCACTGGATCCGCCCGGCAAAGAAGGTCCCCCGGGAGGTACCTGCACAGGCTGTCCTGCTAGTCCGGGTGGCGGCGGATAGGTTGGTGGCATGGTAGGAACTGGCTGAACCGGCATCAACTTGGGAAGCACCTGTGGTCCCCCAGTGGACGGTGGTGCGCTGAATCCAGGAGGAGGTGGGGGAAAGGCAGACTTCGCCGGTGTCACCGGCGTATTGCCGCTTCCAGTCTCTGCTGAGGTCGCACTCTGCACCAAACTTTGAATGCCGCTGTCGATCTTGGTCAGGTTCTCGACAACCGCCGACAGGAGCTTTCATGCTGGTCGAGAGCTTATCTCAGGTCCAAGAGCCGGGCTTTTCAGAACGCTGGCAGGTGCAGGCCTGGCTGTTCTGTGCACTGGCTGGGCTGAACGGGATGAGCGGTCCCTTGCAGCCGCTGGCACTTGGACCGGTCTCAAAGATGCAGGGCCCCAGCTACAAGGCAGTTGCCAGGTATACCCAGGGTAGCTACAATTCAGTTGCCAAGTATAGCACTCCAAGCAACCGAAGACAGTTGCATATCTTAAAATCACAAAACAACACCTCCAAAACCTTGCTTCCGTGCACCCCTACACACCACCTACTTTCGAGTGTGCTTTCTCAGGCCACACCAAGTATAGATACTTGGATGTTCGGCCTGGTTGTTAAGTACTTGGCGTGGTTGGGGTACATATATAAGTGCCGCAACTCAAGTTGTTAACTCAAGTAACTAAGTTATATCTCAGACAAGTAGTTGGCCCACTTTGTTAAGTACTTCTAGTTTTGCTAAGTAGATATTTTGTAGGCCATGTACTTGGCATACTTAGGAGGACTTATATATATCATGTCACGAGTCAGTTACGGCACACTTATCATTTCGCATAAGTATACCAAATAACTAGGCCGCCGGCCTACTTAGTAAGTAAGCCGCGGCCTACTTAGTAAGTACGCCGGGCATACTTACTAAGTATGCCCAAACCTACTTCGTAAGTATGACGGAGGCCGCTTACTACATAGATTCCGGAACATTTTCTATGTTTTGATGTCTGTTTTTTTTGTAAAAATAATTTCTGTTGGTGAAATGATTTTGTTCTGAGGGATGCTTTGCTTATAGGTTAGCGCACCAAATTTATGCGCGCTGAACTTTGGGCCTTGCCTTAAGCTTTTTCAATCTACGTGCCTTTGAAGAACCGATGGCTTCGTCGTCTGCAATTGCTTGCAAGTAGTATGGTTCTAAGTCGGCCCAGCACCAAATGTCTGCAGAAAAGCCATGTGTCCGCGTAACAAAGCGGAAGCGCTCCAGCGCTAAGCAAAGCATGGCCACGAAGTCACCAACCCCTTCGTGGGGAACCCAGCCCCGCAGGTGGTAACGTTCACGGTGGTCTAATGCCAATAAAGACTCCACCACGTCCCCGAGATTCGATTCGTTGTTCATTCCTTGCAGTACGATCTCAGGGCATAAAAGTCTGCAGACTGCAGCGTAAAGCTTATTGCCACAATCGTGCTCTATGCTATGGTCATCCGGGTGGCCTGAGTTGAAGGGTCACTCCAAGGCAAGAAGCAGCAAGAGAGCCAAGCAAAGGAAACCCAGCCAGGGAAGAGTAAAGGGTGCAAAACAATGCAACAAAGGGCTACCAGCCAAGAAGCAACAAAAGCTACAAGTAAAAGAAACAAACATGACCCGACGGCCCAGCCAAATTGAGTTTTACCAAACTGCTTTGGAGAACTACCAAGCACAATAAAAGAAAACATATGATCAACAAGGCTGAAGCGTCGGATGGAACCATAGTAGGAGATTTCTTTTCTTTTCTCCCACGCCCACCCACGAATCTCCAAAAATCGTCAGCGCAAAAGTTCCTTCCTCCCAGGAGGAATGTCCAGCAGCTCGGCCAGCCTGCCCCGGGCGTCATCAATCTCCCGGCGGCTGTTAAGCCGATTGCTGCGATGACAAAATTTGCAGCAGTTCCATTCGTTACACAAGGAGCGCCCTCGTGCCAGCTGCCACGCTCTCGACCGCAGCAGTTCCTCCACCGCAGCTCGAGCACTTGCATCCGTGTTTCCACGGAATGCACGCACGTCGAGGCACGAAGAAGGAACTAGGTAGCCTCTGCTGTCATGCAAGTGCAATCCGGACTTCACATCGCAAACGTTGGCACACAAGGGACACATGAACGTTCCCGCAGCGCCCTTGCAATCGACCGCGTCCTTGAGGGCCGCCTCGTCACCCAGCAAAAAGCATGGGCGAGCAAACACGGTGGTTTTTGTACCGTCTGCAAAACTGAGAACAAAGCCACCGCGCGCATCGTGCGGCTCCAGGAACAAGGTGCGGCATACCTTCATGAGTTCTGACATTTTTCCGGGCAGCTGCTTGACAAGATCACTGCGACACACCCCCAACATGAACCAGACACGCTCGTTGGACAACCTCTGCAAGCCAAAGTCTGCCAGGGACCAGTATACAACTTGAATTTTCCTGGCGTTCTGATGGCGCAGCTGATTGCCGGGCGTGACTTCATCGCTGTACACGATGCAACGCAACGGATCAGAATGAGTGCACGCTCTGCGCTCCAGCAACCCTTAAGAACCTGCTGAACTCTTGGCATGAATTCGCCGCGCGCCACAAGAAGGCGATCGGGTGCACCATCCAAATCTTAGTTCCTGCAATGGCCCTCTCCACCAGGATGTTGCCATATGGAGTTGTCTCTGTAAGATCTGCATGCCGCTTCCTCTTGATTGTGAACCGACTTGTGCCTTCAACGCCTAGATCTGCACACAGCCCGGCAAGAGCAGATGAAGATATAAACCTTTTGAGTCCTAGGCGGTGCACCTTCAACGCCTAGATCTGCACACAGCCCGGCAAGAGCAGATGAAGATATAAACCTTTTGAGTCCTAGGCGGTGCACATCAGTGTCACTTGAAGCGGAGGCCATGGCCTTTGACAATGGTGAGTGCAGAAATGCGTGTGTAAAGGTTATCGAGCGGTTGACGGAAAGGGAGCTTGAAGTACTATACCTGGTAACTGAATTGTAGCTACCGTGGGTATCTATACCTGGCAAGGCGCCAGCTACACCTTACCATTCAGATGATGCAAATGATGCAAATTGCATTTCTTGCGTCACCACCCCCTCAAAAATCACAAAAACTTAACCTCAAAAACCTTACTTCCGCGCACCCCTCTCCCCTACCTAATTTCGAGTTTACGTAGTACTTTCTCGGGCCACCCCCCCCCAGACCCCCGACTTACTCACTTCGTTCGCCAAACACAACTCAGCTGGCGCCTTCTACGAAGGCTGGCTTTCGTACCCAGCATGTGCCGAGTTTACGTATACCTTTAAAAACTGGCCCCCAACGAGGGACGTCAGGAACGGCGATTTTGTCAACTCTGTCGGGGTGGCGACTCCTTGCAGTAACACCCTGGGTCCCGGCGCGCCTTGTTGGCGCCCACTCTACCGTAGAGGAGGGAGCGCACGCGCGCGCGGACCCAGGGCAGCGGAAAAGACGGTCCATGCAAATAGGAAAAGCACTGAAACTCCATCCAAACATCGACCTTGTTGTGACGGAAATGGATCTTTTTAGGAGGGTCCTCTTGTCCATGTACAGTCATCATGATTCTTTCAGGGAGTCGCAATCTCTTGCCCAGCAAAAGGATAGTTTACACAGGATAGTTTACACAGAAAGACGGGATTGCCATCGAATATCCAATGATCCAGTGATGTTGCACTTCAAGTTCCCTCTCCAGTCTCATTAGTGCTTTGAACTTATATAGGTGTGTTGGAAGTATAGCACAATAGCATTTATACGGACCCAAGGTAACTACAATTCAGTTGCATGGTATAGCAGTATAGCACTCTTGAGAAACCATCCACATTCAGATGATGCAAAAGCAAAAAAATGCATTTCTTGCATCACCACCCGCTCCAAAATCACCAAAACATGATCCAAAACAACCTCCAAAACCTTCCATCCGTGCACCCTCCTCCCCGAGCATGTGACGAGTTTACGTATACCTTTCTCGGGCCACCCCCCCCCCAGACCCCCTACCTACTCACTTCGTTCGCCAAGGACAACTCAGCTGGCGCCTTCTACGAAGGCTGGCTTTTGTAATGAAGCATTGGCTTCATTACCCCTTTGTTCATCTTCTTCTTTAGTGGTTGAAGCCAATTTCCCCCCCCAAAAAAGCTTTTGCGCATGATCCACATACTTCCTGGGTAGGAGGATGTACTTCCTGCGCACTGCCAGTGTGTTGCGTACCGCCCGAAGTCGGAAAATACACCATGTGTGTGGCCATCCCACTTGCCGAGAGTCATTCCAAAGATGATCATCGACATCCTCCCAGGCAATACCAGCAGCGTTCATCTCCTCAGGTGAGATCCCATCCACCCAGACGCGACCCGAATACTGTGCAGGGGTCGGACCCGAATCGTTTGGAGGGGTCTGGACCCGAACCAAACCCTAGAGTTTTGAGGGACCCAAGGGCTGTTTGGAGCGTCTGGGCAGACCACTAAATCAACCCAATTATGTTGGGCTAGCTTGGTGAGTTCATCTGTTCATCTCATACTCATACCAAAAACCTTGTGACGTGGCCCGGTGGAACTCTGGGAACTCACACGTTTCGTGGTTTGGGAATTTGGCCGAGAACTGTCCAGTCCTAAAATTGGTTCGAGAGAAAGCGCTTTGACCACGCGTGAGCGGCTGGAGCAGTCGCCACGGAGTTTGAAGTCCAATTCTATACTATCCTATAGAGGATCCTACAGGTCAATGACCTCATTTTACTGGAGTTGGTCATACAAAACACTACTCATGTGCAAGGAGGTCAAAGACTAGGTTTTACTGGGTCTTTGGACTTGTGAGCGCTTATCAAGAGTGTCCAACGAGAGGCGTTGGTCAAAGTGCTACACCAACCAAACGGCACTACCGCATTTGTTCCTCGAAAAGGGAATCGGTGGGTGACATTTATTTCGCCAGGTACTACATGGTACTACTGGTTGGAGAAGAGTGCTAACGTCCCTTTCTGCATCATCAATCAGATCTTACAGACCTTTGGTGCACGGTTCTCCCCTCTCAGAATTGCAGCACACTCCCTCCATCTTTCCCCAAGACACCAAAAACGAAACATCGACCGAGCCAGAAGCCTCCCCACGTCTCCCCACGCCAACTGTACCGATCTGCTGAACTGGCTGTTTCAGCGAATCATCGACCTGGGGACATATGGGACCTGGGATCCCCACATGGTTCCAGTTCTAACTAGTAACTTGAGGCCAGAGGGGGTGAACGAAAGCTAGCCGGGCTTCCGGTGGTCTGCTGCTGGTGCTGCTGCTGCTGGTGCTGCTGCTGCCGCTGCTGCGCTGGGCGCTGCTGCGCTGGGTGCTCTGCAGGCGCCGGGTCGTCTGCTGCTGCTGCTGGCGCTGGGTGGTCTGCTGCGGCTGCTGCTGCCGCGGCGTTGGGTATGCTGCTGCTGCTGCTGCCGCTGCTGCGCTGGGCGCTGCAGATGCTTGGTGTGCTGCAGCTGCTTGGTGGTCCCGCTCACCGCGCGCAGGGGGGAGTCGAACCGCGGGGGGGGGGGGGTCCATAAGATTGATTTAATCAATTATTTGAAGTTTCTGAGGTGCGTCCACCCCGTCACTTAACTTGCTAAAGCAAGAGCAACTCCAGCTAGCTAAGGCTAGCTTTCGTGACAAGTGCATCGCTAGTAGTAACAGGTGCCTTACTAGTAGTAACAAGAAGCTATTAGAATTAAACAAAAAATAGTAGCTTCTTGTTACTACTAGTAAGGCACTTGTTACCAACCCATCTGGCACATCTGGGGCCATGTTCTCGATGTGTACAGCATGCTGCAGAAAGTCCGCGGAACGACGACGAGGTGACGAAGGGCGCGTCCGCCGCTGTCGCCCGTCGAGTCCATCTCGGCCGCGGCGCCGGTTCAAGAAGCTGACGCAGCTCTGGCCAACTGGGCAAAGGCCTTCAGCCGATTGAGAGGGTTTGGACCGGGGAGTGGTCACCCACACAGAAAATAGGACTTTGTTGGAGAAATTGTTATGCCAACCAGGTTGTGACCAAGTGTGGCAAAACTTCTTGTCTCACGCCAGTGCATGCTTTGGGGCGCAGTAAAACTCACAGTTTTGGAGAACTTTAGACTTCATCTTGGAGGGGAGGCATCGCCTTCTTTTGGTTAGTTCAAGCAAATACACTCACAGTAAAACTTAACACTCTGTTGATCCTTCGTGTTCTAGTTGGACATTGCTTTGGGGAGTGACTTAGGATTGTGAAAAAAAGGGTTTCGTGACAGCATGCTGCATTTTTTGACGTAATGTACACTCTTGATTCATAAAACCCCCCCATGTGAACATGCTTTACAATCCAACTGAGGTGGTTATTAATTTAGCGTTTATACCTCATTATAGCGTTTGGTTCACTCATCCCTGCCAGTATGCTACTTCGTCCGTCAAAAGGTCAATCAAAAGGCTACGAGCACATCAAAGAGATTCTTCGTAGAAATCCATCGGAGGTGCACTGCCGATCATGTCGAAAATACCCAGAAACACATCAACCTGGCGCTTCCTGTCTGGGTGTCCTGTCTGGTGACCTATAAGCAGTGTAAGGTTGTCCATTGGTAACCCCGAACGGAAGCAGCTTGAAAGTATCACACCATCTGTTCGATACTCTTTCCTCACCCCCGGTCAGCGGTGCGGTCCGAAACGGCTCGGTCGCTGTGGTGATGGACAATCATCGGTCCATCGAAATGTGTTTGGAGCATTTCTCTGAAATCGACTCGAGCTTGTTGGAGCATACTGATGCTTGTTGGAGCATTCGAAGCCTTCCTCGATGGACCTCCAGGAGGCCAATCGAGTCTTTTCCACGGAGAAAAAACGCCCCACGTGAGCGACGCAATCATGTTGGGGCACTGGAAGTCAAAGCGGCTGAAAAAAGGGCATCATATGGCCTAATCCCCTTTCGACGGCTCAAGTTTCCAAAACAATAAGAAATCGAACAAATAATTTGTTGACTGACCTGCTATGGAAAAGAAGAACGAGGCATGCCAGGACCATCCAGGACGTTGGTTCACAGAAATGATGGGTCCGTCAAAGACCCATCAAGGACTGACCTTCGAAAAGGTCCAGAGCCCCAACATCAAAGAAGATCAAACAGTAAATATACTATGGAACAATCATGGAAGTGGAGTTCACCACCTGTTTCTATACAGGATGTATATTGGTCTTTCCAGGGGCCAGGCTCTCCACTTCCATATGGATGATTCCAGGAATTCCGTGGTCTGTTTTCCACCAAACACCTACCGGTGACTCCACACCTACCGGTGACCCCGCATTGGGCTCCAAGACCAACCATTTTGGGCTCGGAACGTTCCTTCCCCGCAAGTGGGCGTTCAAATAAGCTCGCTTGGATCGCTTTGGGTTCAAATACCATTCATGAAGTACGACGACAGGTTCGCGCCAGGGCCCAGACCTCGGGTGCAGCACCTTGACTGGTTCGGACTGGTGACCAGCACCTTCGACCTTCGCTGTCGCCCGAGACGCGCCCGCGTGCGTCGTGGACCAAAGCAAACCCGTCGCCTCTGCGGCGGTTCATCGGGCACTGGGTCCTGGCGGGTTCATCCGGCAGGTGGTGCGCGCGCATCGACTGGGGGGTAATGGCTGTCTGGCTGGCAAGCACGACTGGAGGATCTTCCAGGAACCGGGAAGAAGCATCTCTTCGCGGGGAACAAACACAACACTGCCCCAAGAATCCGAGCCCTCAAACAGATAGGGTTTTGAGGGCCCAAACCCCTGCTATGGAGGGTCCGACCCCTGCCACGGAGAGCCCAAGGATTCTTAGGGTGCCAGGTGATTCATGTTTCCCCTCCCTGCCAGGTGATTCACTTCGTGAAGGGGCCATCAAAACACGTTCGATAGACTGGTACGTATGAGTTGGCAGAAGGGTGAGATTCTGATTCTTGAATGCTCGGGTCTCTCACAAGCAACTGGCTTTTGGGCAAGGAACGGTTCAAAGGTCCCAGCAGTCAAAGCTGAAGAAACTACAAACAAGCATAAAACAAAGACATGTACAAACAAGCATCCCAGACCCCTGCCATGGAGAGACCAAGGATTCTTAGGGTGCCAGGTGATTCACTTCGTGAAGGGGCCATCAAAAGCATAATGGAAGTGCATGGAAGTGCCATAGAAGGCCCCTTGGATTCGATGACCATGTTTCCGAGTTGAGCTCCCACATGCAATCTGATGGCTCCCATTTACAATTACGGACAAGCTAGGGATCACCACAGTCACGCGAACACTTTGACAGACGTGAAGTCACAAAGATCTTTGGGAAGATCAGGCATAAAGCAGCCCAGCATCTGGTGCTAGCCTCTCATAGCCGTCCCAAAAGCCAGAACAAGAAAGTTATATCTCATGTCCCATGATGTCCCTTGTCAATCGCCACCAAACCCCTCCCCGAAAAGCCGACCGTGACGAAAACACGGTCACTACCACATACCTCCACAGAGCTCTGGTAAGCACTGCGCGACGTTGCGCCTGCTTGCTTGGCATCATTTGGCGGCCACTGGGAAGCGGCGGTTTGGGCGGCGGAGGGGAGGGAGGCGCCGGGGCAGAAGTCCCAGTGAGCCTTGGGCAGCGCAGAAGCAAGCCGATGCAAGGGGAAGTCGTGGAGAGTCATCGCAAGTTATCCAGTGTGCGATTAGGCCCAAGTCCAGAAAGTTGCTCCCCCGCCCAATTGTCCAAGAACGATTATGTTCTCTGCGCCTCAAACATGTCAATCTGGGAATAAAATGTCAATATGAAATCCCAGAATGAGGTCACATTCGTCCCTTAGTCCCACGTGAGAGAGAGTCGGGACGGTTTGGCACTCTCATGGGGTCGAATAAACCAAAGGTACATCAAAGTACTCCACGTATGGAATACCTACCAATGGGTCCTCAATGGGTCCTCAATGGGTCCTCTCATTGGGTCCTCAATGCTCTGCAAATTGGTCATTCACTCTTCAATTGCGCTCTGCCAAAAAAATAGGGACCGAAAAGCAGGAACCGAAAAGCAGTGAAGCGACCCTATACCGGAGCCATGGTCGTGTTCGTCACTTGTCACATGATCCACACAACATCAGACATCTCAGGTCTTGCAAATCCAACACACGAAGCCAAACTACACATGGTGATAGGGTGTAGGCCAAAATGGGGGCTCTGCTATCTGACTCTTGTGAATGAGCTTTCACCCACCAAACACCAGCGAACAGCAGGAACAATCATAGTCTTGGTAGCAACACTCCCCCGTTATTGAATACAACAACTCTTCATACTACATAACAAACGCGTTGTTTTTTGATCAAAAGTCTATCTTGAGTCTTGAGCCTTAGCAAGGTGTGAATCGGTGTGAACTGGTGCACCAACACTTTCCAGCAAGAAGTAAATGTACAGTCTGGGAGTCTTGTGGACTCCTTGTCATGTCTAAATTCGTCTTATCCAAGTCTTGGAGTCGAACAAACCATTTAAACCACAAGGTCTTTAGGTCACCCGAAAAGGAAGAACCCTTCACCTCGGTGACACCAGTGGTTTTTCACCGGACGGTCCCTCCGGGTTGCGGTCGCCCGAGATGGCTGGATCCCAAAAGCAAAGCCGAAACGAACATGCACCGATAGCAAAGCCCATTTTCCGATCCAGCAGCCACTGAATCCAGGTGCGGGCAGGGGCTGAAGTTGGTGGCTCCTGTAGCGATTTGGGCGGCAGCGGGGGTGACAACCCCAAACTTCATGGGGGATCTACACTCGTTGAAACTATCATGGCTACATGGCATGGCCCCTAAGAAAACGGATGACCATGAAATCCTCATACCAAACAGGTGGCAATTCTTTCAGGAAGTGTCAGCTTCGGTTGGTCTACTTGTGATCAACCTCTGGCCTAGGCGAACTCTTTTCCTTCTACACATTGGGTCTGGTCCCCTTCGTGATCGACATGATCGCCATGCCAGGGCTAAGGCACGTTCCCGATTCTATGGAAGCCCCCTACGGACCCCGAAACCCCTCCTGTCCTCATCGGCCCCCTCCCTCTTCCCCGGAATCCTCCGTCGCAGCATCTGCTTCCGCCCCGTCGCCGACAGCTTCGCGTCCCGACCGACGCGGCGCGTCCGGGAGCTTCGCGCCCGTCGTCGCGTCCGGGGGCAGCTTGCAGACCTGCCGGTCGGCGAGCTTCCGATGGAAACGGCGGAGGCCGGCGACGCCCGTGTTTTGAAGGGCCGGAATCAGAATATACCGGGCCCCATAAGGGGTGTCTAATTAATTTTTTAAGGTTAAGGGGTATCCGCCGACCCCGGCCGACGCAAGGGGGAGCGCGTTAGAGAATAAGGGAAAAAAAAACTCCGGCAAGACTGGGTGGTTGCAAGAACGCATTTGCAACACGAACTCAGACAAGCAAAGCATCTCAACAGTTGTGAGCAGGGCGGTTGTTGCGATGAACATGGTCTCATGAGAACAGTTGCGGCGATTGTTTATAGAGCAGTTGCAAGTCTTCATAGAACTGCTGCAGTGATTGTTTATAGAGCAGTCGCAAGTTTTCATAATCTTGGGGTTTGCATTTGGGTACACAAGGCATTGGCCCTCTGGTTCAGGACCAAGTTATCAGCAATTGCACTGCACGTTATCAGAAATTGGCTATTGAACAGTCGCGCAATTTTTAAAAGTCTTGCTTGCTGGTTTGCATTTGGGTGCACAAGGCACTGGCCCTCTGGTGCAGCACCAAGGGATCAGCAATTGCACTGCACGTAATCAGACAAGCTACGCATCTCAACAGTTGTGAGTAGGCCTGTTGTTGCGATGACCTTGATCTCATGAGAACTGTTGCGGTCGTTGTTTAGAGAGCAGTCGCAAGTTTTCATAGTATCGCTCGGTGGTTTGCATTTGGGTACACAAGGCACTGGCCCCTTTAAATAAAGACCCAGGGGTCAGCCATTGCACTGCTGGTCGTTTGGTTTTTCGGCAGATAAAGCACGCACCGGCTCTCTCTCCCGGCTTTGGACCTGCATGGCTCGACGTGTGGACGCGGCGTCGAACAAGGTCAGGACAGCCTGCCCCCACACTCGTGCGCCAGGCACGAGTGTGGATGCGGGCGCGGTGTCCCAAGCCGCGGCCCCCGGTTACGAGGGGGTTGTCAAGCCGGGCCCCACCGGCAGTTGCTGAAGCGCACTGCCTGCTAGTCGTTTGACGTTAGTGGAGCTCGTGGCAGTCCGTGGGGAGAAGTGGTTGTTATAGTCGCGCTTCTTTTGTTTTGCCCACGACGTGAGGTTTGGAAGGCATTTTTGGAGCGCGAGAGGGTGGCGCGATGCTTTTCCGAAGCGTTTGAAGGCATGTGTGGGGAGAGGTGCCTGTCAATCGTTTTTCTTTGCGACGTTAGTCACCGGAAAAAAAACGACGTTAGGAGCCGGAGCAAGCCAGTTTTGGTACGTGAGGGGGTGGTGGAGCGGTGGCTGCGGAAGTCGAGCCAGGAGGATACCTGGAACGGCGCGAGGGTGGCGCGATGCTTCCTCGAGGCGTTTGAAGGCATATGTGGGGAGAGGTGCCTGTCAATCGTTTTCCTTTTTGAAATTGGATGCGACGTTAGACGCCGAAAAAACGATGTTAAGGACCGGGGCGCGGCAATTCATCGCCTTTGTTGTTGTTCCGGCCCCCCCAAAAAGCGTTGTTCGCTGCGGGGTCCCGGTTTTGGGTGTATGTCTTGGTGCCGCCTGCAAGGCGTAGTTGATGTATATGACCTGGCACCACTGGCACAACCGCCATTCGTCTGCCTCCCCAGCCCCGTCCACACCCACGCGCCTCCGTCTTGCGCCCCTTTCCTTCCATCCCCCTCCCGTATCGCGCCCCTCCCTGTCCATCCACAGTCCCCGTCCACGCCCATCTTCCGTCCACGACAATGCTTGCTTTGTTTCGCTCAACGAGAACCCAAGCATCGGAGATGCTTTTTTTGGAAAAGATGAAAAGGGAAAAACAACCACGAAAAACCGCAGGAAAAACAACCAAGCAAGAAAGAAGGGACAAAAAGCAACAAAAGCAAGGAAAGAAAGAGGATTCACAAGGAAGCGATGAAAAGCAAGGAAAGGCAACACAAGCACAGAAAACCAGGAAAAGCAGAGAAGCAGTGAGAAGAAAGGAAAAGCAACGCAACAAGCACAGAAGAGCAAAGAAGCAGTGAGAAGCAAGGACAGGCAAGACAAACACAGAAAAGGCATGAACAAATTATTCGAAAATTAGATACCCCTCCAAAAGGGAAAGCAAAAAGGAAAGGAAAGGAAAGGAAAGGAAAGAGTAGGAAAAGCAAAAAAAAGAAAAGAGTAGAAAGACGTGTAAAAGCTTCAACGTACCCACAAACAGCTCTCCAACGATCATACGCCAAGTCACTCTTCCTCATGGGATCAGGCGGAGGTCCCTGGGGTCATAGGGTGTTGGTGTACCCCGCTGCTGGCGCCGGAGGTGGTCCATAGTTCTGACCCGTGAAGGCCGGAGCCGGAGGAAAGCCCAAGGGCATCGGAGGCGTAAGATTCGTGGGCATAAGCTTGGGCTGTACATTCGGAGTTTGGGGGGTAAAAACCACACCCGTACCCAATGTCGCTTGCGGGATTCCAGCTGCCATTGCTTGCGCCGCAGTCGAAGGAGTCGAAACTGCGGGTCCACTGGCTGGTCCAGGAGTTGGTCCAGGAGCTGGGGTACTGGTCGATCCTCCTCCAGTGCCCGGCGCAGAGCCACCCCTCATCTGGGCTACCAGAGATGATTTGCGACGCTCCACTTCGACCAAAGCTTCCATCGACCCGTTCAGCTTTTCAAGAAGCGTCGTGATCTTCTCGAGTGACTTGGACTGCTTTGTCACCGTGCCGTCCAATTGGCTCAAGCGGGATTCAGAAAAGGGTCGCGCTCGCTTCCGTGTTTTCACATGGTAGCTGACACAGGGCGCTCGAGTTGGTGCCACACCAAGCTCCAAATGTCACACCAAAGGCACAAGCAACTGCGAAGGCCTTACGTGACAAAGGAAAGGAAAAGGAAGCTCTAGGGTGAGCTTCTCTGTCTCTTGCCTGTGCAAAATCCGTTGAACGACTTCCAGGTTAAGCATTCCGACTACTGCCAAATGATGGTCCTCATCAGCCCCAGTGGGACTGGCACTAATGGTCCACTTCATCTCTTCACAGACTTTCCGGATAGTAGACTGAGACAATCTGGCAAAGCCCTGCAAAGCCTGAAACTCTAACATGTTTTTACACTGTGATTTGAATTTGACCTCCAAGACCACGCCTCTGTTCAGCGAGCAGCCCCGTGTAGTCCGGCCTTCAGAGCCTGCATTTGCTTTAGCATGAGCAAATGACCCGCTTGTACGCCTCCCAGCTGGCTTTGAAAGACCATTCCTCGTCTTCGAAGCCCACTTTCTGGCCCGAGAAGGCAAACCCTGATGAGGCAGACCCGGCCACCCTGGCACCCTGCCTCCACCTTCTCCACAGGGTTGCGTGGCAATCTCTTTCATCTCGGCATGGAAGTCCGCCTTACTCAACCCCTGCTTCAAGGTTGATCGCGTCTTGAAGAAACACGCAAAAGCTATTTTCTTGCCTTTGGGATCAGCCCCTGTCTGGCTGCAATCGCCCTGTAGCTTTTCCTTGCCTGGCTGCTTTTTCTCTTTCCTGCCCCAGATGGTCTTGTCTTACACCTGAGCCGTTTGCGCGTAAGACCTTTGGGCCAAGCAGCTATCGGGTTAGAGCCTTCAACTTGGGCAGCTAGGTGGCTTCACATTGACACATTAACAAAGGAAAAATGAGCTTGGTGGCAATCACTGTGGAGCCAATCAATGAAACCCAAACTCACCCTTCAGCGCAAGCAAGCACCTTTGGACTGTTCTCAGCGCTGAAGGGTTTCTTCCTCCACAGCAGCAGAAAGTCGACAAATCTAGACGCATTGGTGTCCAGAGAGGTGATGGTGGTGATGAGGGTGGAGATTGCGGTGATGGTGGCGTTGTGAGTGTGACTGTGAGTGTGTGTGTGTGAGTGTGAGTGTGAGTGAGAGTGTGAGTGTGTGTGTGTGAGCGTGAGTGTGAGTGAGAGTGTGAGTGTGTGTGTGAGTGTGAGAGAGTGAGTGAGTGAGAGTGAGAGTGAGAGTGAGAGTGAGAGTGAGAGTGAGAGTG